AGAACGGTTTGTATCAGGCAGTTTCCCCTCTGTTGTGTAGCCGGTACCGTCGTATTAGGTTGGCCCACATGGTAAACAAGATACTCATCTGGCTGAAAACAACGTCCAAATCCACTTAGTTGTACTGCCGAAAAGTCTGTCCTCAGAACTCCTCGCAAACGTCCATACGTCATATCGTCTTACTTTCTACACACTTTGACTCCCACTAATTCACTTCTTCACGCCGAAACTTCGTGTTCAGAGGCCTCTGCATACGTCTGTTTGTATGACGATCACTTTTCCCTCGTCTCTTAAATCCCCAATTAGACGTCTCGACTGATGTGCTCCTCCATGCAGACAAATAGTTTCAGTGCTTTACTTTGTGTTTATCGTGCATAAAAGTCAGACTACTATCCCGCCATAGTTTATTACTGAGAAGACAGATAACTGTCGTGCAACAACTCTTAAATCTACATTTGATCTCTCTTCCCTTGGTTACTGTGGCCATATCTTGTTTCACATTGACTTAAGTACCCAATAAATTTCCATACATATGTTTCTTTTTCTTTCTCATAGGAAGATTCACAATGAAACCGCTGCATACTTATCAATTTGACGGTTCACCTCAAATTTATGGCTCCATTCGGGATTGTTCCTAGAAATGTTGGCAGTACATGCATTACACCCATAGAGAAGAGAACCGAGACTGGCCTCATGTGAAGCGCCAACCTTGAAGACATTGAGTGGTTTAGTGATGATGCCTTGAGCTTCGTGGGCTGCAAAATGAGAACAGTTTCTGGAAAGAGTCATAACCTTAGCTCAGTTTATTCCTGTGAATTTGTTTCCAACGGCACCGAACCAAACAATCACTACCTGCTGCATGATACCGAGTGCCACTGGTTCCAAGCTATGTCGTCGGTCCATACCATGATTTGAATCTAGTTTTACGTGCTCTCTATGAACAGCAATACCTTATTGACTATTCGCACCTTTTAAGCTTTACTATTGTTCAGCGTTTGACATCCTATGTACGTTTACTGATTATGCAACTCATTAATTGAAGTGTAGAGGCCTGACCACAGGTGCCTGCTTGAAGCTCATACTGGGTGATAAAGCCTGTGTTATTATTCACTACTGTTATATAGCGAAAGGGTTAATATCTAATATTTTTAGTCAGCAGCAGTTGAATGACTGCATCCTGGCAGACTATGTATGGTGTACCTCTCTCACTTTTCTCAGACTCACAAGCAACAATAAGGTTCAGATATTGCCTGTACAAGCGGCATGTGTTCGTATAATTTAATATTCGAAATATATCATCATTGTTGTACTTAAAGTCTCTTATCAAGCACCCATGAATGAAAATAATAACACCTGAAGTTTATACTTTTTATATTTTGCCTACCCACCAATTCTTATTTGGAGTTCCGAAATCTGGGTATCACAATAATTTTTGCAGCTCAGGTCATTTTTCAGAGTGCCTCTATTGTGGAATTTATGCATGTACTTACTTCCACTGAACCCATTTATGGCAACTTCAACTGCGACATTCACCTCTTGGTATTCTCATTTGGAAGCATCAGGTCGGAAACCGACGAGATGAATTTCTGCCACGTTCTGTTTTCAAAGTAAGGAGGGTATTCAGCGACATGGCCACTACGCTATCTGCAGTAAGCGTGGGACGAGAAACCACAGCTTGCCAAATTGATTCACAAAATGATACACTATCTTCACCACGTACTTTGATTCGTATAAGACAGCGAATATACAGATTCAGAAATCAATATCAAAAGCTTTTTGAACGCAGGTTATTTATTCTGATCAAAGTATTTGACTGGGACCTCTTCACTCATCGTCTACATTCCCAGCATTTCACACACCCAAACTTCACTTCTTTATCCATAAGTCCAGGGTGATAAGTAAGATAGATTTATGAATTATGCAAATCCCTCATTCATGTTACTCTTACCAAATCATCAAATTTTCAATTTGCAGAAGCAGGTGACCGAAAGTTCTTTGGATTCTGATTCCGTTGAAAAAGATCTGAATTTTGATTATCCCTGCCTGTTATTATTTTCTGATCAACAAGGTTTTAAAGGATGCCAGAGTGAGTATTGGCGGTACCAAATATTTTTATTTGGTTTTTGGTGTTATCCGCTGTCGTGAACCTCAGATAACAGGTTTATGTTCCGTAGAAGACGGATCCCAGAGCTTCTGGTTCCCGTCCCATATACGTAAACCTAACTCACTCGAGAAAGAATCGGTAAACGCCATGGAGTCAGCTGTCAAAACAGAGCGGCAATCCACTCTGATAACATGGAGCCCTCAACCTACTACTACTAAGCAGTAATCTCAAGGGAGGTGGCATAGTCACAACTTAAGGAGTGGTTCATCAAGTGAACTGAGGATCCTAGTATGGCAGCCACCGCTGCGATAGAGCATTTTTCGGAAAGGTACATAAGAGAAAAGTCCTAGTATCATGTTCAAATTCTCCCCTGGCATGTATGATCCAAGAATCGCAAAAAAGACAGTGGTCTCCGAGAGAGAGTAATCCAAAAAAAGTAACAAAAACACTTCAGTACGTATGGTCCCTTGCCAAAATTCACACGAAAATCCTAAACACTCTAGTCTGCATCCCAGAAAAATGTATGTATATACATACATATATGTATATATATTTAGTTCCTCATTATATGTCTCCTAGGATCATATTCGAACACAGGGCTTCAGTAGCACGCGTGATGTCTTCGGATGGTTTTCTTAGTGTATGCCCAATCCATCTCCACTTTCTTCTGCATATTTGTTGGGCGATGGGTTCTTGATTGGTTCGTTGCCAGAGTGGGCTTCTTGTTGCTCATTCTTTCTGGCCATCTGATCTTCAGTATCGAGTGAGCGTAGGCAGCAGCTGTTGATGAATGTGTGTAGTTTGTCGGAAGTGTTTTTTGTGACGCGCCGAGTTTCTGACTTGGCTAACATTGGTGTTGAAAATCTGGATCTTGTTCTTTATATTGAGTGGAGTGTAGTGCAGTAGATCTAAACACTTTTCCGATCCTGGCTTTGACGTCCTCATCTGTGCCTGTGCCGTCTGTAATTGAAACGATGCTGCCTAGGTAGGTGAAGAAGACTAATTTCTTTAGGTTTCTCCTGTTGATGGGGATTGTTGGTTGTTTTGGTTGTTGTTAGTTGAGTATCTTCATCACCTCTGTCTTCTCCACGTTCACTTGAAGTCCTGTCTTCGCTGCCCCTTCTGACAACTTGTTAGTTTTCGCCTGTAGATCTTCAAGTTTGTGTGAAATTAGACACAAGTCATCGCTGGCGAAATCTAAATCTTCTAGGTTCTCTTCCGCTGTCCAGCGTATCCCCCTCATCTCGTTCCTCACTGTTCGTTGCATGATCCAGTCGACCACAGTCAGGCAGCCTTGTTTTACTCCTGTCTTCATTTCAAAAGCATCACTGAGATTCCCTTTGTGAATTACTTGGCATGCGGTGTCTTCATATACTTGTTGAATGAGATTGATAAAGGTTTGTGGTATTCCGTAATGTTGAAGCAGTTGCCAAATTACTTGTCGGTCGAGGCTGTCGAAGGCCTTTTCAAAGTCGATGAAGTTGAGTTGTTGACTGCTATTGTATACTGTGTTCTATGATGATGCATAGCGTAGTGTTGCAATTTAGTCGGCACATGATTTGTACTTCCTAAATCCAGCCTGTTCTGGTTGTGATTTTGAATCCAGCACATCGTTTATTCTCTCCAGGATGACGTGGCTTAATATTTTGCTTGGTGTGGACAAGAGTGGAGCATGATTCCGCGCCAGTTCTTCCAAAGACTTAGGTCTCTCTTCCTTGGAAGTTTGACAAGGTAACCCTTCTTCCAATCAATAGGCAGGTACCTTTCCTTCCTTGCAAACCTTCTGCAGTAGTAGTGTGGTGTGAGCATGTCCGCTATTGTCTCTGAGTCTGTTTTCAGTGGTTCTGGAGGAATTCCATGTGGTCCTGCTGCTTTCATGGATTTCAGCAGTTTTATGGCGTTCAGGACTTCTGCTTTTGTCGGAGGGCCTGTGTTCACTGGTAATTCTATGGCTGAGCTGGTGGTGGTATTTCTGGACGAGTTGCAGGTGGTGGTCGATTCTAGAGTTTTTTGAAGTGATCAGCCCATTGTTTCCTTTGTTTCTCCTCTTCGGTAACCGGCTTTCCTTCACTATCTTTGATTGGTTTCATCTGTGTTGATCTCTTCCCAGATAGTAACCTAGTTGTTTGATATAATGTTGTCAGGTCTCTCTCACCAGTCTGCAGCTTGTTCTACTTCACTTGCCAATGCGTGGTGGAAGTGTCTTTTGTCTTTGCGTGCACTCTTCTTCACTTCTTTGTCCGGTGTAGTGTTTTATACGTTGTAGTCAGTTCCTCTTTTTGTTGTTCATCTCTGCGCTCCACTGGTTTATCTTCTGCTTCACCATCTTCCTCTCCTCTATTGGCTTCCATGTGTCCGTGAAGATCAATTCCTTGTCTTCTTTCTTCTTAATACGGTTATGCAAGTTTCTTTCCATATAGCCTTCGAAGAGTCCCAGTGTGCTTTCTAGCCCGATTCTTCAGGGATGTTGCAGATATATATATATATATATATATATATATATATATATATATATATTCTAGCAACTCTCATGTCTAATCCACAGTGTCCTTTACTTGCTTCTATCTGCTCTATTCTCGGGTACTTGTAACCATGGGAATCATAAAGAGATGTGCAGTATTGTCGGAAACTGTTTAAACTCTTGACATATTCAACCCACAAAAAGGTAAAAGCATCCAGAAAGTAATCACCTATGCTAGAGCGAAAATAGGATATATTGAAGGACTTCCTCGTTTAGAAAAGGTTTAGAACCATTTGGAAAACAAAACTGTTGAATTGAGAGTAAGATTTAGCTACTACTGCTCTCCTTTAGTTGCATGATTGACGTTGACGTTTTGCAATGCTTCGATTAGTTATTGAAAGAAAGACCGCCTAATTGGATACACTGCGTTGAACAATGCCAGAAGTCGTCCCGAGTAAAGTTATTAGTTTTACAAGTGAAGACAAGGTATGCTTATTTCTGTAAAGTGTGTTTATTTTTATTGTATTATAGTCATTTCTTCCTACGTATGAGTTTTTATTTAGCTTCACTGCACGGGTGTAAATAATTGTTATTTCGAAAAATAGCTTTAGATTATATAGTCTTGATATTAGTTACGTCAAGAAATTGAATGGCTTTCATATGCCCCACTCTGTTTGTTGAGCATTATGAAGCCAACGGGGTGGCAAAACAAATGGTTGATCATGTTTTCAGAAAATTTGTGATATCTCAAAGGGCAGTTACCCCTAATGAAAACCTTTTGCTTTAGGCAAAGTAAACCGTTATAGTCACTGAACCTATATAAACACATTAAATGCTGTGACGTTTACCGTATGCATCTGACGTTTTGAACTCACACAAGCGAAACTGAAATTGTTGACATTTGCGCTTCGCTAAACCACTAAGTCAAAAGTTTTACTGCGGAAGAACTCATTTCTATGTAGTTCAATAAAAGTTCAACTACCACATTGAATAGTGAGTGAGAGGATGGGTAATGAAAACATTAAATTCGTACATGACGATTCCGAAAGTACTAGGTAAATCATTCTATCGTAAGTTTTGAGTGAAGCAACAGTAGATTTTCAAATTTTAGAATCGCATACGTAGAATCGAAAAATGAATAACTCATATCCACGCTTAGAGGAAGGCATGATGTTGTGTTTTTCTAAAATCTTAAACAAGTCTACAAGTAACAGTAATTAGTTGGTCGTTTCCATGTTATACTCAGAATAGCTCTTCATATCTATTTTAAAAATTTTTTTTGCGTAGTGGCTTATGTAAAGGTCATCACATTACTTGAACTTCATGCTTTGTGTTACTAGTCTTTATTCTTAGTTATCGTATCTACGCTATGGAATTAACTATTGTAAATCCTGAACTCAGACAAATTCAACGTAGGACCTTGCACACAAGTGCATCGGTTCAAGTTCCCATGCTTCAAAATAGTGTACAAACTCAGGCATCACAGTGCTTTTTAGATTCGAAACCTATGACAACTACCGGATATTAAATGTCAGTTTCCTCATTTGCACTACTTTACTTCTTACGAAGTCTATCTTTTGGCTAATTATTAATCTACTGATCGTTAATGCCATAAGTATTAGACTTTGTCTTAACATCGCTAGTGGCATCGCTTTTCACACCGTTAAAGTGATCATAATTTCTTTCACGGTAACAGTGAACACATGGAGCACAACCGGATCCCATGTCATTCTCAATTTTCCCAATAAGACTGACTGTACCCTTCTAAATGAAACTGTCTAGTAATCAAGAAAATACAAGATTTTATAAATAGGTGATAGATAACACATTAAAGCTACTCATTCGTGTAGGTATGTTATTGGTAACTTATGTAAACATCAGTGAATATAATAGAAGTACGTTTCGCTTGATCTAATGGGAAGTCATAAATGTCGAGTATTTTTTACTGCCTTCCTAACTCTAAAGCTCCCTTAAGTAACACTGAATTTGGTATGCTTATCGTTGAAAGATTGAGTCAACAAATTATGTAAAAGGAAGCTATGTGCTTTGGTGTTAATTCTCCTCAGTAAAACAGGAAGTAGTCCAGTTATTAGCGTAATCGATTACTGATCCCAATCTATTTAGGTGTCTTATTTAACTAATGATTAATACAGCTCCATTTTATTTCGACTATGTAAAAAGTTTTAGTGTTATTGCTTGCATGACACCGTCGTTGAAACGCACCACCATTCAGATTGCCTCGTTTCAGTAACTAGTGGTCTAGTTCAGAGCTGTTTGCTGTAGTACTTCAAGACTCTAGAATTCCATCTTAACAAGTCGATGTGTGATAATTGAAAATGTCAGCTGTTGCTCATTGCCACTCTTAAAATGTGCTTAAACTACGAGTATGCACTAATTTAAGCACAACTTGTGCTGGGAGAGTTGTAAAGATGGTTGACACTTCGCAGCTGCCCACACCATGAAAGGTTACTTCTTGAAGTGCACAAAGAGAAGAGTTAGTAATAGTGGTGTATGACCGCAGAACCCAATAAATATCTGCTTGAGGCCAGTTGCGCCTAGTCTTTTAACAAGTTTGAGATTTCAGTTTTTCTTCGAATCCATCTATAGACCCATACCGCTGGCACAGGGACACCGCAAGGTTGAGGGGATTTCGCTATCTGTAGGACCTACCTTTCTTAACTCCCCTCCACCTTCCATGACAAAGGCAGCATCAAAATCTGTGGGAAACATCACACTGACTTCTCACCCCGTCCATTCAGCAGTACGACTTTACCCTCGTACCTCCATTTTAGCGTAGTATATTAAACTATAACGGTAACTATTTTTTGTCTTATCATCATCCAGCTGATCTCGGTGTAATATAACCTCGAGGGACCAAGTGTTTTACCAGTACAGCTCATTGGGTCACTATGGTATACAAGTCGACTATTACATCAAGGTAGCGGTTATCTATCAGGATCAAAACATGTGCATATTCGTTTGAATGAAAAAGAGAAACAGCTGTAAAATCGTTGCATGGAGTTTGAAATCTATAAAATCAGTTGTATATTAAAGACAGGTTGAATAAATAGCAGTAAAAGACAATTAACGCAGTAGGTGTTTGCAATTCCATCAAATCTAACTGATGCACGAAGACTGATTCAAACTAGGTGTGATAAAAATGAAGTATGAACGCAGCCTGAGCGTAAAATGATTGCGAGTGGAAGAGGTGTTGAAAGTACTGATGCTATGTAAGAGACAGTAGGTTTTAAAGTTTATCGAAGAAAATAGTCCAACAAAGGCTATAGGTGGTAAGATCGTCGAAAAAAAGGTGTCTTTGATGAACTTTCAGAGAAATTACAGGGCAGAAAACTGAAAAACAGCTCGAATACCTTTTGACTTCGCTTCATCTTAAAAGGAGGAGCGGGATATTGTTGGGAAAATTAGATTTGAGAGAGAAGCTAACAAATAACGCAATTAAGTAACCACCAATAGGTGGATTCTGCATTAACTTTCAGATTATCTTCAACTCGATATAGTCCTCGGAACTATTTTTCGGAGGATCTGTCCTGTATCTTAATGCTTTTGTTTTGGAACATACGTAAGGAATACAAGTGAGTAAGTTAAAAGGCTTCTACTGCCCAATATTTATGTTCATGTAGACAGGAAAATCAGCCTAGAACCTGACACCTAAATGCATTGGCTCAAGTCGTCACCCTTCACAACAGCGTGCAACGAAGTAAACGGAAACAGAGCAACAGTAAAGTAAAGAACGTTTGTCAGATAAATCCATCTATCCATCGAAATCAACATAAGGCCAGGCATTACTGCGTAACGGTCCGAGTTGCCACACCTCATATCATCACATCAAGTAAAAAAGCAGTGAAGTGAAAGGTGGAGAAAAAAAATTTAGTCAAAAGAAATATAAAATACGAAAAGGGACAAAGGAAGAATGAGAAAATGGTGAGATTCGGTATAGCGTCGTTAAGATATCGATAGTTTGTGTATACATCTGCGCCACTGACATCGATACTGAGCCATATCATCTAGAGTCTCCAACCACTGGTTCCTCTTTTCCCGCCGACCCCAACCACCTAGTCTGCATCGTCCTACATGGCTTAAACCAACAGTCAGAGACTTCATACATTGGTGCCATGTTTTAGTCTGACCACCTCGAGCCTTCTTCCAGCCTGAACCTACTTCGACCAACATTGTGTGACGAGGCAGACGGTGACTAGGCATAGGTAACACGTGTCCTAACCATCTCAGTCGATGAAGGTTCACAACCTCGGCAACTAACTTTCCTCTTCTCCTTCAAACTCTACTCCTGACTTCTGTGTTACTCACGTGGTGACACCATGGAATACGACTTATACTACGTAGGCAACCGTGGTCAAACACCTGAAGCTTTCTCATGTCTTCCACCTTCAGTGGCCATGTTTCACAGCCATACAGTAGAACAGAGCGGACTGCTGTGCAGTACACGCGATCCTTAATAGACAATCGGATATCGTGGCGGCGCCATAGGTGCCATAAGTTGGCAGAAGCCAGCTGAGCCTTTTGTATCTATGCAGAAGTTTCATCAGCCACCAGGGCTGATCCTACTTCCCAGGTAAGTGAAGTGGTCGATACACTAAATCACTACACCCCCTATTGTTAGCCGTGGCACCGTTGAAGACTAATCCTGGAGCAACAATTTGCATTTGGGTGGTGAGGAATACCTCCCAAACATTCTCAGATTGCCACTCAAAGTGTCCAGAAGACTCTGCATGTAGTCAGCGTCTTCGCCTAACAGGACTATGTCATCTGCATATTCTAGATCTAACGAGAATTCTCCTGCGATTGGGTCAACCTCTATGTAGTCAGGTGACGAGAGGGAGATCTCCATAAGAATATCTATGATAAAATTGAATAAGAGTGGGGACAGCGAACACCCTTGATGGACACCACTTGACGAACACAGCTCCCCGAACAGATAAAGGGATATTTAGACGAAGGTTCATGGGAATATTCAAGATTTTGAAGAAAACAAACATCTGCACCATTGTGATAGATACCTAGCCATTTTACCAAGAATCTCCATCTATAGTTCTCGTGCTGTGTACCTATTGTCCTTCGTCTGAAATAAAGTGGTTGGTAATTTTACGGGACGAGGATTTAATGAGAGTCAAACGGTTTGCTGGTAATAATACCATGTAATGTGGTCGAGCGATATGCACTTATGAGATGGAGTGATTGATTGTGTGATTAAACTCCATTTGTGACTATCTTAAAAACTCAACCAACTGATAATTAAAAAGACTGGCTAATTGGTCATATTTCTTATCATTAGCTGTGACCCATTGGTCTATTATTATTAATATTTGTCCCTCGGGTTCCTATTGGAACATAGGGCTTCAGTAGCATGTCTCCATTTCACTCTGTTCTCTGCAGTCTTTTCGATCTAACTCCACGGCTGCCCATAAGCTTTCATTCCTTCCTCACATTATCTCCTCCATGTCACCCTCATCTGGGACGCCCAACTCATCGTTTCCCCTTTGGATTTCACTCATGGGCCTGGCTCGTGATGTCTTCGAATGGTTTTCTTAGTGTATGCCCAATCCATCTCCACTTTCTTCTGCATATTTGTTGGGCGATGGGTTCTTGATTGGTTCGTTGCCAGAGTGGGCTTCTTGTTGCTCATTCTTTCTGGCCATCTGATCTTCAGTATCGAGTGAGCGTAGGCAGCAGCTGTTGATGAATGTGTGTAGTTTGTCGGAAGTGTTTTTTGTGACGCGCCGAGTTTCTGACTTGGCTAACATTGGTGTTGAAAATCTGGATCTTGTTCTTTATATTGAGTGGAGTGTAGTGCAGTAGATCTAAACACTTTTCCGATCCTGGCTTTGACGTCCTCATCTGTGCCTGTGCCGCCTGTAATTGAAACGATGCTGCCTAGGTAGGTGAAGAAGACTAATTTCTTTAGGTTTCTCCTGTTGATGGGGATTGTTGGTTGTTTTGGTTGTTGTTAGTTGAGTATCTTCATCACCTCTGTCTTCTCCACGTTCACTTGAAGTCCTGTCTTCGCTGCCCCTTCTGACAACTTGTTAGTTTTCGCCTGTAGATCTTCAAGTTTGTGTGAAATTAGACACAAGTCATCGCTGGCGAAATCTAAATCTTCTAGGTTCTCTTCCGCTGTCCAGCGTATCCCCCTCATCTCGTTCCTCACTGTTCGTTGCATGATCCAGTCGACCACAGTCAGGCAGCCTTGTTTTACTCCTGTCTTCATTTCAAAAGCATCACTGAGATTCCCTTTGTGAATTACTTGGCATGCGGTGTCTTCATATACTTGTTGAATGAGATTGATAAAGGTTTGTGGTATTCCGTAATGTTGAAGCAGTTGCCAAATTACTTGTCGGTCGAGGCTGTCGAAGGCCTTTTCAAAGTCGATGAAGTTGAGTTGTTGACTGCTATTGTATACTGTGTTCTATGATGATGCATAGCGTAGTGTTGCAATTTAGTCGGCACATGATTTGTACTTCCTAAATCCAGCCTGTTCTGGTTGTGATTTTGAATCCAGCACATCGTTTATTCTCTCCAGGATGACGTGGCTTAATATTTTGCTTGGTGTGGACAAGAGTGGAGCATGATTCCGCGCCAGTTCTTCCAAAGACTTAGGTCTCTCTTCCTTGGAAGTTTGACAAGGTAACCCTTCTTCCAATCAATAGGCAGGTACCTTTCCTTCCTTGCAAACCTTCTGCAGTAGTAGTGTGGTGTGAGCATGTCCGCTATTGTCTCTGAGTCTGTTTTCAGTGGTTCTGGAGGAATTCCATGTGGTCCTGCTGCTTTCATGGATTTCAGCAGTTTTATGGCGTTCAGGACTTCTGCTTTTGTCGGAGGGCCTGTGTTCACTGGTAATTCTATGGCTGAGCTGGTGGTGGTATTTCTGGACGAGTTGCAGGTGGTGGTCGATTCTAGAGTTTTTTGAAGTGATCAGCCCATTGTTTCCTTTGTTTCTCCTCTTCGGTAACCGGCTTTCCTTCACTATCTTTGATTGGTTTCATCTGTGTTGATCTCTTCCCAGATAGTAACCTAGTTGTTTGATATAATGTTGTCAGGTCTCTCTCACCAGTCTGCAGCTTGTTCTACTTCACTTGCCAATGCGTGGTGGAAGTGTCTTTTGTCTTTGCGTGCACTCTTCTTCACTTCTTTGTCCGGTGTAGTGTTTTATACGTTGTAGTCAGTTCCTCTTTTTGTTGTTCATCTCTGCGCTCCACTGGTTTATCTTCTGCTTCACCATCTTCCTCTCCTCTATTGGCTTCCATGTGTCCGTGAAGATCAATTCCTTGTCTTCTTTCTTCTTAATACGGTTATGCATTTCTTTTTCCACATAGCTTTCAACGAGTCCAGGTGTTGTTTAACACGGTTTTCCTCTGAGATGTTGCCCAGTGTCTCTTGATGTCGCTCATGATGACTGGTTGTTATGAAGATATCTTTTGTAGTTTCATCTTTCAGTTCAGTTTCTTTTCTGGGTATTGAACTTGGACTATGGCCTATCACCAACTTCTTTCAACTTGATTTTGAAGGTTCCTTGCATTAGATAGTAAGTGATGTGAACCTACATCTGCTTCCCTTCTTCATCTGATCTTGTGTGCAGTAGTCTGCGTCTCCACTTTCTTCAGATTGAGATGAAGTCTACCTGATTTTGGTGCATCCATCTGGTGAAATCTATGTTGCTTTGTGAATATCCTTGTGCTTGTGCACACTACCTTCAATCATCAAATCATTAAATGCCCAGAAGTTTGCAAACTGTTCTCCATTCTCATTCATTTGATTGATTGCCTCTCGACCCATGGTTAGTTCTCTTTCTGTGTTGTCCGCTCCCAGTTTGGCATTCATGTCACCGATTAGGAATTTGATATCGTCAACTGCAGTCTTGTCCATTACTGATCCCAGTTGCCTGTGGAATTCCTCCTTCTTCTCTTGATCTGCATTATTTGTAGGTGCGTAGCATTGAATGATTATGACTTTCCTTCATTTTGAGTTGGACCTTGCTGTCATGATCCTGCATAAGAAGACTGTTTCCCATTATATGAGAGCCTTTGATGCTCTTGGGGACATCACGATAGCGACTCCTTCAGCATTTTCGTGATGTCGTCTTGGTGACAGTATCAGAGTAGATTATTGACTCCTCTCCAGTTAAAAGTTTGGAAAGTTCACTCCCATTCCATCTGCTTTTGCAGATTCCTAGCACTTCTATGCTATACCTTCTCATCTCTTTGGCAATCTGGGCAGCCTTGTTAGGTTCAAACATGGTGCGGACATTCCATGTCCCCATGTTTAGTTTTGCTTTCATCGAGGGAAGAGAAGACATTGGCCAATTGGCTTCCCGAAGGCTTTCACCAACCGGCGTCATTTCGCCTCTCCGATTCCAGCGAAGAATAAATTTTATTTTATTTTTTATATTTTTTTGTGCTTTGAAGTTTCTTTAGCGGTTAGACTGGTTTTACGGGTAGGTTGGCATCCCTATACCCACCCTTCCCCCTTTATCCGGGCTTAGGACTGGCTAGTAACTAGTGAACTAGTTACGTAGGCGAGGTTGACCCATTGGTCTAGGCACCTGATTTCCAGCCGATGGACTACATGTTCGAACTTAGCTCCACCTACCGAGGTCCGGACAGCCAGGTAGTATACTTTGCCATCATACAATTGATGTGACTGCATATTGCAAGGTTCCCAAGGTTACTGATTGGATTTCAATTTTTCGACTGAATTAAACCACTACTTATGTACAATAACTGCAACTCAGAGTTATGCAATCGTACGACAGGTGATGAGTTCTTGATAGTGTGTGTAAGGCTATCTTAACGTCTACTAATATTGTTCATATCCATTTAAATGCTTTTCTGATTCTTTCAACTTTCACCGTATTATAAACTATGCCAACATAAACCAGTATGATTTCGTGAGGTTTTGTACTGATCTGTCTACTTGCCTGGGATATGATACACACCATGCTGATAAAAGCAAGCAGTTGTCCAAAATCTGTATCATCATAACAATCTATAATCATCTGTAAACTGGCTAGAAGATGAGTAGATACAGACAGATTTCTGGTAGCGATCGTCATCTAATCACCAAATGCCTCTGACCAACGTATGCTTTGTGTAGCACCGTTAATAATATTAACTTCTGATATTTTAAGCAAGTTATAAAATCTTCATGATTTTTCAACTTCTTCATTTACTTTATTTTATTTTCCATTCTGCGGCTACTTTCCATTGAAGTAAATGACTAACAGTCATGCTTAAAGTGTTGATTAACTGCCACCCTGCTGGAGGTTTGTAACTTTCTAAATTAAAAAGGAATTTGCATTGCTAGGTCTGGACGTTGTAGTAATCATCGGATGACTCACTATGACAATGTCTTTCTTATTGGTGAGATAGTGAACTACAACGAGAAATTGGTTCTATTGACTGGTAATTTTCACGATATTGTATAACTTCCGCGTTATGCAAGCATCACTCTTATTTTCTTACTTCAGTAATCATTACTCCGGACATGGGTTGGCTTTACCAACTTGCTATGCGGCAAGTGTATTTGCTTTTACGATCAAGAAAAAGAAAGTACCTAACTTCGACTTGCCATATTCTCTACTGATTAACTAAGTATCTGTTTCAGATGGAAAGTTAGTCAAGAATTAGGAAACGATTCTTGACACTTAGATAAAAAGTGAAAGACTAAGTTTTGAACTGCTAAAGCAAATTAGGAAAAGTAACTTAAACTAGTAACAGAAGGCTTTTTAACAGTTACTAATTACTAGCTGGTGATAATTGACAAGATGTCAAAACTGATATCTATGAAGCAGTTGCATGCTTTCTTCTATGATGTCCTGGGGTTAATTGCTTGCAATTAAATTATTTTTCTTCATTTTAAGTCTATATTTCGACGTAATTTTTGTTTTGTGTCATTAATTGTTGGCGTTTTCAGTCAGAAAATTAATAACCTGACAGTTTTATGACACACTTGTCTAAAGTGGGATTTATATGGCATCAATAAGACTTCCACTTTAATCTCCATAATTCTTGTCTTCAAAAGTGAACCATTTTTAAATGCATATTCTCATTTTAGGCATTTCCTGCATCCAACCTTCTGAAAGGGTCATCATTCTCGAAATGGCGTTGTCTCAGCGGTGGATCGAAACAAGAAGCAGTTGAACTCAGTGTAAACCATCCTATTTTATAGATATATTAACATGAAATACTTATAGTTTTCCGAACCTATTGAAATTTCACGCATTGACATTGGAAATAATGGTTCTGCCTTCATCGAAGTGTTAGTGAGAAGATCTGCTGCATCAGAAAACCCATCGGTAATATCTTATTTTGCTGTATAATCTAATTGCAGGTACTTCTCCCATCTTCTTCTTTTATGTCCCCAGTAGATGCAAAAAATGAAACAAATCTTAATCGTGTTCGCGTGTTTAGTGGAGATCAGTTTACAAAATCAGTTGCTAGTCAAAAATGGGACATTGTGAAATTTGTCTGCTCTCAACCATTTAACAAAACTTTGCAATATGGTATTTCTTTTGTTTTCTTTCATAGTCCGGCTAACACAAATTCTATAACTGATGTGAGCGTTATATCTTCTATTGATTCTTAGGCTTTAGAATAAAGAGATTAAAGTTGATAGTATATTCAACAATGAAGATGCGGATTCACCTCAATTCAAACCAGGTTCACTGTTTCAAGCCTCCCGTCAAACATCTTGCAGTCAAGAAGATTCAGAAGCCAAATCTTCAGGTAGAATCATCGTATTAACTTGAAAAGTAAACATACAATTTAGTTTCAGGTAAACTGATTGCAGTTAAACATTCTACTAATATAACTGCCAATAGTAAGTGTATCACTGTCTTTTTGTCAATATTTTACTATTCTCCTAACGTTGAGATATAGTAAATAATAGTCTCCGTTCTCATATGAGTTTGTGACAAAGTAAATAAATTAGGCAACACAGAACTTTATCATTAGATGATATCTTAGTTCAAGCTGACAAATTTCCCAACAATATAAGAATAAAAAAAGATAAATTAATGTACTACTACAATGGATATGATTGGATAGGTACGAAAAGTAATTGGAGTAATAAGGTTGTAAAAGTAATAAGTTGTCTATGAATCTGTTCCAACAGGAGAGATTTTTAGCTCAATTACATAAAGTCCACAATTCATGCCTCCATTAGACTTAACTTCCTTGTGATGCCACTAAATATATGTTATCAAAGCGCAGATGGACAAGTAGAATAGCATCTAGGACAGCTTCATTTAACTTCAGCTAATTTGAGGATAGAAAATTCAAGTCATTAGTTAAGTGTTTTATTAATTTCACCAAAGAAAAAAATAAAGTTTGCATATATAAATGTATAAAGTGTCCATTTTAATTACATATAAATGTTATTTAAATGATACATTTACGAAAACAATTAAAATATCTCCTTGCCTTATCAAGTTGTTTCCACACCAAAGTTTATGTTTCACATACTAAAATAGGCAGAATTAGTAGCTGTAACCTAATGGCAGATAGTTAAAGGGTGAGGTTACTGAGATGCATATAAAACTGTACACTAAGTGCCATGTAATATGTATTGAGAACTCGAATACTTTTCTTTCCACCTATTTTTAAAAACTTGGAGAAAAATTAACCAATTTTGATGAGTCTAACAAATCTACGTGATAATTGTTACCTCTATTAGGTTTCTTTTCTTTGTCATGTTACACAACTTATTGTGCTTAATAGTTTTAATTTGAAGGACTGTATCGTTTCTGAAACGTTTTCTGTACAATCTACTGACTTTTTAAATGTATGCATAGGAAAGTTTTAAAAAACGTTTTTGATTGTTTATTTTTTAATAGTAAATACCTCGAATCCAGTTCATTTGAATCGACCAAACCATACACCAAAGACCAGTAACAGTCTTCATCTACCACAGCCGCCACCTTCTTCTAGTCGGACAGATACAAAACGTAGCCAACAGCCTCTATGTATATCAAATGATGCCACGGCATCAAAAGCACCAAAACCATCCCATTCTTCATCTCAAAAACCTTTATCAAATGTTATCTTTACCTTGAGTGGTTATCAGAATCCTTTAAGAAGCCAAATCAGAGACAAAGCTATAGAACTTGGTGCCAAATATAGACAAGACTGGGGCCCAGATTGTACGCATTTAATGTATGTTAGATGAGAGCAAATTACCTCATTTTTAGTTATCTATATTTGAACGTTTTAAATATTTTGGAAATCACTACAGAATTCTGTTTCCATCACAAGATCTAAGGGTCTGGCTGTTAGCTAACCGTTCACGCTACCTCATTTAATAGTAGAAATCATCTGTAATATCCCACTAAATATATCCAAAAGCTGGTGGATGCAACTGTTTTATTCGAAGTAATAGATGTAAAACAGTTCACTTCAGTCGATTAGTAAAATGTTGAGGAATGAGGGCAAATGAAATTCATCTAGTTGTCTGAAAGTGAGTTCAAATATCATAAGCAATGAATTCAAAACCTCTACTGTGCTACCATACAAAGAAAGCACCTCAGAAGCATTACGAAGAATTCTCAATAAGTCTGGGATTAAAGTGGCATTTAAACAAACTAACTAGCTTAGAAACAAGCTTCGTAGGTTAAAAGATCCTATCAATACAATTCAGCAAAATAATCTGGTTTACCAAATCTCTTGCAATGATGGCGAGGTCAAATACACATAGGTTAAAGTAATCAATCAGGGTCGATTAGAATAACAGAGCACAGGAACTTAGCTTAATCAAGATTAATGCATCCTAATAAGATAGGAAATTTCTAAAAAAAAGCTCAGCTATAGTTTTGCATGGAATTACACACAATCACACAGTAGGGTGGGATAAAGTGACAGCGTTAAAAACTAACTTAGTTGGATGGAGGGAGAGATTGATAACCGAATCTTCGTTTATGGAATCAACACCAAATACTTGCAATATAAATGATTCTGCACCTGTCCCAGACATGGAAAATTTCACTGCCCATTTCACCAAAAAGAAGGAGAGGAGATTAGGTATAGATAAACTCTGTCTCAAAGTTGTGGAGTTACCTAATATACGGACAATAAATTGTGTCCAAAACGTTATCCGGTAAATGATACTGTTCCTTCACTGTGTGACATTTCTAACAAACAGACTGAAAACGAAACTTCAGTCTACCACAGTGCTCAAGTTTTACTCCTGTATTAATAAGCAGTGGAGTATATTGAAAGGTGAGCACATAGAACAAGCTTTTGTAATTAATAATACCACATAAATAAACTGACCAACATGATGAAAAGAAACCAACATCGGAAATTTCAAACTAAAACATTTTACTACTTATAATGGTAATAGTAGTAATAGATGAAAAGAAGGAAGTTATAAGGATAAAATAGGTCAGTTTTTAGAAAAATGAATATTGATCGCATGAATTGTATCAATCTGAATTACCAACAATTCCTTGCATCATACTATCCTTGGAAAGAATTCCTAGTGCAATTGTCATTTCATGACTGAAAAACTGTCTTCCATATATCTTCCAGTATAGTTACCTAATACCTCAACGGACATTATTACTATTCACGTGTGGTCAAGCACACAGAAAAACTCAAAGTGACCAGATCTTACTTCAGGATAATTGGGAACCCATTTAGTTCGCTGCCAATAGATATAATGATGCATAGAAATGGAATTTCAAGAGTTATCACTAGAAATTACCCATTCATCTCAGCGTTTCATCTGATCTCATACCATGATAAAAGGCTGTAGACGAATAAGATTACTACTGTCAAGGATGCCTTTGTAATCAACTAATGAGATATGTGTACAGAACTGTTTCGAAAACTGAAAAAAATTTTGTCTCTTTTATTTAATGTTGATATAAATCGAAAACTGAAATCAACTCCTGTCTATTCTAACTGGCATTGTTAACTTTGTTTGTTTGTTCTGTGAAGAATTATGACAACTTACGAAAAAGAAAGAGAAAATAGATGCAATGTTAGTTCTCCATTATAGCAACATGTAGAAGACATTTAATTCACTACCTAGTGGTTGTATGGTAATGTAATTACCATGAGACCTGATGATCTTAAGTTTGACCTCTCGTGGGGTCGTGGGTGTACACACCTGAGGAGTCCAAACTAGGAAAAAATAGTTATCCATCACTTCCAGGTTCCCAATGGTTCGCTAAATTATATCAGTCCATGATGAAAACCATTTTAAAATCTCTCAATCCCTACAAGCCATCAATTGAAAAGAAAGTGTTTCAGGATTAAGTTCATTGAACGCTAAATATCTGTGCATGTGAAATACGTGAGGTAGTTCTCAGATTTTATATACTGATTAAAGTAGTGACCTACACAGATTAGTAAGTGTACAGTAGTTGATCACTGGAGAGCAACCAATTTTATTTTGTCTATTCCCGCGTGCTAACTGAATTTTACCAATAAGTTTTGCAATGTGACCACCAAACTAAGATGTTAAGTGTTGCAGTGCATTTCGATGAATTTTAGTTGGTTAGAGATAATGGGTAAAAAGGTGTGGACCTGGGTTTCGTGCTTGATCACACTCGTCTGCAAGGCGCATCTGCCACTTTGAAGTGACTGGTGTCCGTTGTGCCCGTGTCACCCGGTGCTGCAGTCAGCAACGGGTGGTGATTGATTCCCTGTAACTTGGGATTACATAAATTAATTCGTCACTGGAGAGCACTCAATTGCCTACAACTAAGTAACATCCTTCAAAGTGTAACGTGATGCTGAGCCTTCTGGGTTGGTGACTATACTGCGAAAATGATCGGTAGAATTCGATCAGATCTCAGCATTAGACAACATGAAATTGGTTTATCTCTAGTGACCAGTCAATTTATGTAATTCAGTCCTACAGGAGACCAACCACCACTTGAGTACCTCAGTGGCAACGTCTCTCACTACAACACTGGGTATCGTAGTTCTAAATCTCAAAGAGGACGTTAGTTCCTTTGAAGTTGCGGATACATCTTGCTTATTCGTAAAAGTCCCCAACTCTAGTACTAAGTGGAATGGGTTTGAGTTTTTGAGGGTATGCCTTAGCAAATACAAAGTCTACTTCCCAGAGCTTTTTGTCGACTAATGTCAGAAAAATTTATAATAAATCTTTCATAACTATGGAATCTAATCATTCTTAGTCGAAAATTTGGAAACAAATGGACTATTTGTTTGTTTCTATATCTTGAGATATTTTTTTACATCTTGATTAGAGTTTAGGATAACCTCAGTGTTGACTGACTTGGATTTATCGAGTTGTAGCTTACGAGTATATTCCCTAAAGTTGAATTGGGCTAGAAAAAGGCTGCAAAATGACCACATCCATACATGAATTAGAGACTCTAACCGTTACTGTGAGACGTGTAGGAAAGTGTAGACTGTCTAACTAGTTCTCAAGTTGTTAGAAATCAATGCTTAGAGACTTAGAATTTAAAACCGGTTACAATGTCTTAAATATTTTCATTGACCTTCAATGTATTTACTCTCTCCCCTGTCATATACCTACTTTAATGTCATTTACTTTCCATCCACTTTCCTTTCACATGCTCAGTTGGACCAATTCTTTTCTATGTTAGGTCGTAAATTGATTTGTCTGTCTGTACTGGATATCACCATAAAGTAGTGATTATTAATTTGATTTATTTTTAGTGTAACAGCTTAATAGAAGAAAAATGATTCACTTATTACTCACAACTCTACAACTTATTTTCCTCTTTGAAACTTGCATAGATGTGCATTTCCGAATACTCCAAAATTCAATATAGTTAAAGGAAAAGGTATAATTGTCTCTGATAAATGGATCACTCAATGCTATGAAACTAAAAGCAGTACACCTTGGCGTAGTTATCGAGTTGGACGTGCTCCGAGTCCGCCAGATACTACACCTTTACAATCTGCTTCTAATGAATCCGAGGATAATGAAAGTCAGTCATCTCCATCACGGTAAGCCTATATGGTTTTTAAAAGTTTGATTAGAAAGTTTGTTGGTTTGTTTATGGGAAAAAATATTGAGATGTTGGTTGTATTATAGAAATGTGGGTTGACGATAAACATCTAAGTTTGTTAGCAGAGGTATCTGTTGTATGACTGTTGTGGAACGCCGAAGTAAAAAGTTTACATTCCTTCACAGATGAATCTCCTTAACTGAATTATGATGTTCTTATTTAATTAACAGAGGCGTCGGAAATATTTGTTTCACCCTTCTTAAGACCTGTTAATTAGATCCGTCTGCATCCCCATAAGTGTTAATCCCTCCACTGACACTCTCTGTGTGCATAAGAAATCCCCATTTGATTGCATGATCTGTAATGTTTATGGGTTTTACAAATAATTGTTAAAAAGAGAATGTACTATAAAGTGGTGGGGTTTCCTGATATATGGCTGTGAAAATTGTTGAAGAACTGGAGTCGAAATGTACTCAGCGACCTTGTATACATTCATGCAGTAGACAATGAGCTATACCTATTGCGTTAGTGTTATTGATGATGTTAACTGACTTCCTAAACCTTCGTAGATGGAGTGCAGCTCGAACCCGTGACCCATCGGTTGAAAGTCATCTCCGTAAACCAATGAGCCACAGCTTCACATACTTATCCAAAGTAAAGAGTGTACTAAAGTTACAGTTGTATAACTATGTTTACCCTGATAAACTCATTCATGTACACTGAAATCTTTATGTGAGCATCCAGAAGTTAAACTAAGTGAAGAATTTAAATCTCTTGACTTGAATCTTTGTAGACCATGTGGGGAATATGTCTAACTACCGCATCGCTTCACTGATTTGAAGTTTTTAAACTTAGATCTATATACAATTATGCTAATTCTTATGTTGTTGAAGACTATCCAGTTGAAACTGGAGTCCAACCTTTATCCTCTGCTTCAAATACCAGAGTATTATCAAGTGGGTCAACGAATACTCTCCTCTTCTGTCATACAGGTTTTAGTTGCCAAAGAAATCTTATAGTCCTGTTGCTATTTTGTTTATTGAATTAAATTTACTTGTATCCTTCAGGATATTTTGTTCAGTATATCTATGACTGGAGAGTGGACTTATCCATGGTGACCCACTTTACCTCATCTTATCCAATGGATTGACTCTGTATAATTCTTCCTATAAGTTCCTATGGTTTTTTGATCAATTTTCGTAGATTTACAAGCACAGAAATAGTATAAGTAGCGAGGACAAAAAGTGCTTTTCTAACTGAGTTCCAGTCGACAGATGTCGGCATACCGTTCAGTTGCCTGTTTTTATCGGGGTCTGGAAACACCTAGACATGTTGGGATTTATTTGTAATCGCGTCTTGTACCGTCAATAAATCTAGTTCATACATTATAAGAATTATCTTGAGTTGGAAACTGTCAAGGTTTTAACTAAAGGACCGAACGTACATATATATTCACTATTTTGATGCATATTTACAGGGTTTCACTTTACCAGATAGTGCTAGTCGTTCATTAAATACGTGAAGGGCAGCAGGCCAAGTCTAGACTTAAATATATGGAAATCTTAGTGCAAACTGAGAACCAGTTATCTTAACATCAAGCTGATCTGATTTGTCAAATCTTGAAGCACCAGTCTGGTCAATGTTTTCAGCAGTCACTTTATCTTTTAAGGAACTGATACTCCTTGGGAAACAGACCCTTAAAAGTACGTTTAAATAATCATTTTCTTCTGTCGAAGATGACACCTAACTTTGTCTTTTGAGGGGTTGTGTGACGACCCTATTATTTGTACTACATGCTCATGAAATAACGATTGTGCTAAAGGGATCTCCGTTTTCAAACAAACAAACAAAACAACGTAGAACCTCTCACACAAGTACATCGGTTCAAGTTACTACACTTTACATTAGTGTACAAAGAACAAATGAATAGGAAATGACCGATATTAAAGTAGACAAAGTCGTATGAGAGAATAAACAATCTGAAGATGATGGACAGAGAGAATATTCAAGCTTCAGAAGATGTCAAGGAGTGACTACATTTGCGCCTTTGTAGCTGATTTTCAACTATGTCACCAAGAATCCCTTCGTCTCAGGGGGCCTAGCCCGACACTGCATCTCCCCATACTTTTCATCCACACTTTTTCTTGAACAGAGTACCATCCTTAATTTCAATAAATAGTCGGTTTGCACAATGAAACATTCAGGGCGATGTTGTAAAAGAATGTTAATGCTAATAAAAATGACTTTATTTCATTATTTCCTTATGCATACAATCTTCATATTAGGCTTATTTATTCCTCTTTTTCGTTTATTTGTTTTTTTTGGTGTGCATGCCAGATCAACAGAGTGTGAAGCAGCAACCAGTCTAAGAATAAGTAAGTTAGCTTGCAGCTTTTATGCTTATATTGTATTTAGAAGAAAATCATCTATTCGTGCATACTTTGTTATTATTACTGCTACTTTTAAATTTATCATTGTATTTATCAAAACGTTTGGTTATGGTGGTGCTCCTAAGTTAGCATGTTACACCCTCATAGGTGTTTTCTGTGGAAAATGCCTCTATGTAGTAAAATAAGCAGTTTTATGTTAGAATATACTCTTCGTTAGTTTTACTAGAACCATTAAAGTTATCGATTATTTAAGATTAAAAAAAGTGGATGCTTCAAGAGACACAGGCCAACAATTATGAATTGATGCTTACGTGAATTAAACACCAATCCACGTTATTCATTTTACAAAAAATTATTTCAATGAAAAAATTTTGACAACTGCAAAACTCACTGTAAATTACTATTTATTGATGCACTTTTATTTCTCCGTTGCTTTATTGGATTGAATTGTTCGACCTTTATATGATGAAACTCACTTCCTGGATTCTTCGACTAGCCCCAACCAAACAACTTATCACTGTGAAATAGTGGAGAATATGTATAGCTCAGGTGGATGGTCTTGGTTGTATTGTTTTCAAAAATGTCAACTATTCATATGCATTTTTGAGTAGACACCTAACTAATAAGTTAAATACCTCTGTGTTGTTTATTTATTTATTATCTTTAGGCTTGTATTGTATTTTACATTGAATTAAGTGACTTAACGGTCATTATGCATAAACTTTTAAGCATAAGATGTACATGAGAGTGAAAGTTAGCCAGTTTCATACTGTTCAAGAATCGGTCTTTTTTTCAGGATCCCATAAAAGTCAGATAATCTGAAAGTTAGTCATTGGAAATAATCACCATCAGAGTTAAATGTTAATCTATAACTTATGATGGAGTTACTTGTAGTTTAAATATAATTCCCATGTACAAGGATAATATCCTGATTAAAAAATCAACTGAAAGTTTAATCACTGAAGTCACAGAGGTTGGAATCAATGAAAAATCCATAACATGTAGACTATCACTTAGTTTACAGTTATTTTAACCATCTTGGTGTGTATCAATACTGTATGTTATCTTCCTAATATCAGTTAAATAACTACCAGTATTTTTACTGCTGCATTATTGATGATGGTACTGGAGTGTTTTGATATCTTTTAGGATAGTTACTGTTGTGATGCAGTGCTCCTGAGGCTGGATTTTTAGCTGCAGTACAATAAATTCACACTTCACTTCGTATATATAGGCTTGGATTGCTTCTGTACTGTGGTTCACGGCTTTGAGGCAGCTGGCCTCGCACCAGTGGGTCACGGGTTCAAACCTCACTTCATCTACAGACATTCAGGCAGTCAGTTAGCATCTTTCACCCTCATAAAATAGGTTTAACTCATTGTCCACCACTTCATGGGCGCGCTTTCATGCAATCAATATAACTACCAGCCTAATACATATAATATTTACAACTGTTTCGAAGGTGTGTGTGTGTGGTTCAGCCCAACTGCATGTGTGTTTATCAATTCACCTGCTCTTGTGGAGCTGGTTATATAGGCCGCGCAGACGTGCTTTTTCTAAACGCATCTCCGAAGACTGTCCTGCATGGCTGTCCAAAGGAAAGTGCAAAACCATCAACAGTTGGATTATTGAACATTTGATTAACCCTGGTAACTTTGTCCTAAGAGTTTTCTTTCAAAGTCACTTATAAAGTGAAGTCGAACATTTCGAAGACAGTGCGTATTCGCCACCTCAACACAGCAGAAGCTTTCGCAATTCAGCTGCATAAACCTCACCTTTGTTTTCAAAAGAGATACCTTCAATCTCTAATTTTACCTTGATGGTAATCTCCTTAAGACAGTTTATTCATTCCTTTGTTTACTATTTGTTTATTTACCACAATCCTATAAGCAATTTTTGGTGACCTTGATCTGACCTTCTAGCCGTTATCACCTTTTGACTATATTGACCGTTTCCAGTGACTTTGTATTGACCCATTAGACATCGGTGGATATATATTTTATGGTAACTACGGTTGCGATGCGCAGCTTTTAAAAATGATTCGTCGAAAAGGAAGTTTTCTTCGCTGAATTGTCTTTTGTTAATTTAACATCATTATTTATTGCAGTAATAATGGAAGCAGTTTTCAGTGGCAAAACTCATCAAATAGTTCTTACAAACTGTTAAACATGTTACATATAGACTGACTTTAGTTGCATGTGACCATTGTACAGTAGCTGTGACGTGCTTGAAATTGGTTTCATGAGTCAATAAGTGCAACTGCATACATATTTTACAACAGAAGCAGATAATATAACAACTAAGAATATCACGTAGGAACGAAAAGATACCAGGCTATCTTTACCATTTTTAAATAGTAATATTTCGCATATGGTTTTTGGGGGTTGCTGTAAGCGTTACTTGGGAATTGTGTTAATTGTAATCACAAAACCCGCAAAATTAATTGGCTCCTTGTGATACTCGTTTCATTTTGCTATGTATACATATGCGCTGTCTCTATCCAGATGATACTATATGCTTTGCTGAAAATTCTGTAGAGTATTCCCGAAATAGCTTTCAGAACAAAACCATTATCATTATTATTAAACAAATGCTCAGATATCATCTCCACTACAGTCATTCGATCAATATCAACATAGGACCAGGCATTACTAGACAGCGGTCCAAGTTGTCATACTTCGCATCAGCATAACAGATAAAGAAGCATTAATATGAAAGATGAAGAAAGAGAGAAAACTCGATCAAAAGCAATAGAAAGCAGTAAAAGGAAGGAAGGAAGGAGGAATGACCAACTCCTCCACTACTGCTGTAATATACGTGTTTGACCTGTTTCGTGAGTTAACTTCATACGAGTAGGCATTTAGTTTGATTTTCATGCAAAGTCTGTCAACTTAAACGTATTGGTTTGCTTCCTCTCTGAAATACTCATGGCAGAATATTCAGCAAACTTACACCATCTCTTACCAGTTGCCATTTGAGATGCGTTTCTCACGAACCAAATGCAAATTTTTTGCTTCAGGACTATTCTTCTCTGGAGCTTTGTTTGACAGTAGGGAGCGGGGTGACTGAGCGCGTTAACCACTTCACTTATTTGGGGAGTTGAATCAACCCTGGTGGACCAGTGGTCGACTAAATCTCTGTATATAATCAAACAGTTTATATGGCTTTCACTAACGCACCCCGTTTTGGTGCCACCGTGATTTCTAAGTCCCTGTTTATGGCCGAACATATAACGCTCCAATTTACTCTTTTCTACTATATCTATGTGAAACATAGTGTGTAGTGTATAGTTTGTGAGGAAGCTTCTGGTGTTTGACCACCGTTACCTTCGTAGCACAGACTGTGTCCTGGTGTTACCACATTGGCAATGTAGAAGTCAGGTGTGGAGTTCTGCGCAGAAGAGGAAAGTCAGTTAATGAATTTGTGAACCTTCATCGACTCAGATAGTTAGGACATGTGTTACGCATGCCTGGTCACCGCCTGCCTCGTCCCACAATGTTATCTGCCAGGTTCAAGCTAAAAGGTTAGAGGAAGCCAGACTAAAACATGGTACCGTTGATGAAGCCCTCAACTGTTGATCTGATCCGTTTAGGGAAATATAGACTTCCTGGTTGGGGTCTGTGTAAAAAAAAACGAAATCGGTGGCCGAAGACTGGATGGGATTTTTCAGAATTAATCTCAGCGGTACAGATTTATCCATACGTTATCTTCATCTCAATCATAATAGTGAACTTCAGGATCGTCTCGTTTCCCCTCGTCCTCTTCTTCACAATTTTCCACCATACCACTTTTCACTGCTTTCTTTTTTCTTTTCTTTATTTTTCATCTCAATGAATTCTCACTTGATGTGCTGAAATGAAGTGTAGCAACTTGGAGCGTTACTTTGTAATGCCAGGTTCCATGGTAATATTATCTATCTATCAGTTGCTATTTTGTTATGTTTAACGTTTATAATTGTCCTTTTTATTTGATAAGTATTTTTCTGTTGGACAAACAACAATTAGTGCCTTTTCTTAAAACTGATATATCCGCCGAAATTCAGACGATAGTTTAGCAATCAGAGTCTGAAGATAACTATCAGTGAGTGAAATATCAAGAGATATGACCGGCTTTTTGTCACTTCCTGAGGGATATTTACTTTACATGAGTAATAATCACCACGTGACACGAAAAATGACAGATTAATAAAGTCCCCGGCTTCGTATCTCTAGTTTTGGTTAATACGACTGAAGTCTACTATTTTAAAGTTCCTTTTGAATTTTTTAGGTCTTACTAAAATTCAACCAAGCTCAGTTTAATAGTACATTTTGCGGTTGTTATTGAGTTACCAGTGATGTGTGTGTACTTTTTAATTTAAATTTTAATAGTGGATGGTTTTTTTGTTTTTAGGAGGCAAAAGAAATGCCGGAGATGATATGGATTGGGAGCCAAATTCTTCTGATGAGAATCAAGATGATGATGACGATGAAGTAGTGGAATGGGATGAAGAAGAGGAAGGTAATGATGAAGAGGATTCGTCTGATGAATTTAATGGTCGGAAAAAGCGTAGGAGGATAACTGGAAACATATCTACCAAAAGGCATCGTTCTACAGTAAATAAAGGTCCTAAAACAAAAGGAGCTGGTAATTAAGCTTTGAAGATTTGTTTGTTAGTTCAAATGATAACAAGTTGGCTTATAAAGAATAATGGGTAGCTTACTGTATAATTTCAGTCTGTAAAATATGTCACTGCGTCTTCCTTTTAGGTTTTCTCTTCTTTACAATTATACTCATCAATTTCTAATTTGTTCTCTTCTGTTGAATTCTCATTGAAACTAAATGTAGCCTAATTACAGTTGAATACTTTTCAGTATTACAGTAAAGCTTATAGTCCTCTTCAGGGATAGTACTTTCTAGTATTCGTGATGATTCCGTTCATGCACACAATTTTCTTGTGAAGAGTCGTAATTCTGGATGAGACATCTCATAATAACTACCTACTTGATCTGTATTTGTTCAGCACATCCTACAGTGATGTTATGCTATAAATCGGCTATCCGTTCACAAACGAGATAGTATAGTTTTCAACATCTAGATCTATATAATCCATCTCATGTCTTACTGGAACTTAAAGAAAGTGAACCGGAGACAGTTCAACAGATCTTTAAGGCCTTGTTTTCCGTGTAGCAATAAGAGTTTTATCCTCAATCATTTTGAAAACATACGTAATTGTGAGTGCTGAATTCTAACTGTCTTCTTCGACCTAGAGATGACATTTGATTCCATCGATCTAGAGGTCATATTTCACTGGTTGCTACTGAAATAAATGCTATGAATTGTATTGTACTACTATTGGATTTTTGCTCGATTACTCGTAATCATTTCTGTGCTGATAATGAGTACCTGTTTCAATTGATGTTCACAAAGGATATTGACTGTCTTCACTTTTTACTCAACAGTATCCCAAACGTACTTCTACTGACCATATTTCCTTAAAATTCTCATGAATCAATCTTTCTACTGGAAATTTGGTGATCAACTTAGAGCATATAGATGACATAATTATTTTATTTCATAAACATTAACAAAATGTAGAATCTCTTAGAAACCCTAAGCATTAATTTTGCACTGTATGTAGGGAGTATTTCTTCCTGAGAATTTAGTGTTGCTTCATAACTGGTCTACATCTATGCGTAACTTGACAGTAGTAGTCAGTATATTTGAATGCGTTGTCAATTTCGAATACCGAGAACGACTCATAATTGGTAAAATCCTGATATAGATACTAAATGTTCGTTTAGCTTTACATATATACATCACCAATTGGGGCAAATGAGGTCTCCGAATACACCTAAAGGCAAGTGCATCATACATAAGTGAATTTCTTACTTCTATGGCTGCAAGAAATAGAAAATATGCAAAACGTTAGTTTACTCGACCTTCGATTATTTTGGAGCATATTTTATTAGTATGTAGTCAGGAAGACGTAGTATACTATATACAAGAGATAAGTTAACTCCCTATCGAGGTTTTCTAAACTAGGGAGAAACTGCTGTCCAGTACTTTCAGGTTTTCAATGGTTCATTTACTCATAGGACATTGATCCCTTTATGGTAAACTTTTTCACTATTTATTTGCATTAATAAGTAGATTTGATGGTTGATCAGTTGTATTTAAAGTGATTTATTTTATACATCAATGATGACAAATCACTTTCAAAAATATTTTCAAATGCTTTTTTTTTCAACTTCTAAATGTTGTAAATGAAGCAATTTTCATGATCACTGTCTAGTCCTTAGTGCTGCTCAGCGCTGGCCAATTCATCTGATTGATTAAATCTTGCAAGGTTTCAGTCGTGGCCTTGATAAGTTAGTCGTAAAGTATCTAACTTCAGTGATGTTTATCGGAAACATGGAAAGAAGACCAGTTTCATTATGATTTCAGATACTTGTTGATAAGTGTGAATAAGTGCAAAACCTAGCTAGCTCCAGGGATTAGTGCGAATCAATTCCTAATATATGGTTGCGAATAAAAATCTCCCTCACCTCATCTTAATTTACAGGGGTCGATCCCTTCCCAGTGAATTTCTCAGTCGACTTAGAGTTTTTAGATGACATAGTCCTGTCAGGAGGCGAACATCTAGGGTTTTCTGGACATGTTGAGTGAAATTCTCAACTCGAAAAGTCATCTATTAAGTGATATTATATCACTGTGTGCTACATCAAATAGACATCTAATATAGAATGATACACTTCCAGAATGTTTACCATAAGTTTTCCACCTCAAAAATGCGAATATGTGTTGATATCTCTTCAGACAGTCGGGTTAAGGGGTTGATTTCCTTGACTACTTCACTTACTTAGAAAGTCAGATCAAATCCTGTAAGTTAATGGTCAACTTAATCTGCACATGGATACGAAGGGTTTGACTGACCTTTTCCAACTTGTAACACTGGTGAAATGTTCGACTAACTACTAGCGATTGAGTGTACTGGACAGTAATTCGTTTTGTTCTCCTTTAAGGCTGCAGAACATGGCTATTAAAGGTGTTCTACCACCATTCTCTGCCGTCGTAGCATTTGTCGTATGTCCTGGACCCACCACGTTAGTAATATAGAGGTAAAGCGTTGAGTCTTAGGTAAAAGAAGTAAGTCACTTTGTAAGACCGTAAACGATCATTGACTGAGGTGAAAAGGAGATTTTTACGCATACCTAGTCACTATCCACTCTGACATCGTATTAGCTGAAGTACGGTTAGCCTGCGAGGAAACTGAGGGTGGCTGAGCTAAGATATGGCATCAGCCTTTGGTAGTTCATCGGTGCCGTTTTGAGAATTTAGGCTCCCATCTCGTAGCCACCGCGAAAACCGTAATCGATGACTGGAAATTGTAGGTATTATAACTTGGGATCGACTACATTTGTATAGATACTTTGTTTCTGCTCAAACCACAATATCACTTTTTTCATTTGCCCTAACCCTTTTTCATTTCGTTTTATGACTTACTGTAAATTTTTGGTGATGGTCGCTGGTTTGAATCTTGCCACGGCCCAAATTTTCATTTCACCTTCAATTATTACCCAGTATCGAAAATCTGAGTCTGCCAAACCACGGCTATCTCAGTCAAAATGACAGTCAATATTATGCTCCCTCCCTTTAATTCATTTAGATTGGGATTGGGATGAGAGGTCCTGACTGGGCAGCCACTGTGAATACGATCAAGCGGTAGTAATGCGCCATGAATTCACATAGTACCTAGGCAAGTTCCTGATGATTGAAGTGAAATTAGGATCTGTCTGATCAGCAGTCGAGTCTCGTAGTTCAGTTGGTACAGCACGAGGTCGGCAACCCGGTCCTCGCTGGTTCGAACCCCGCCACGGCCCAAATATTCATTTCACTTTCAGCCATCAGCTAGTATCGATACTATTTCCATTTCTTTGTCTTTCATCGTGATATGAGTTCTGGTTGTTTGGATCATTACGAAGTAATGACGGATTCTTTGTTGATATTAATTGAACTGGCATACTCGTTGTCACACAAATACACATAAGTATAAACTGTGTAACTATGTTAGTGTTGCATTAGCTAAGTGAACTGTACTTCAACCAATCAGTACTTCTATACTGACTTTTTCCCAGCACTCATTTCCTCCTTCTGAATATATATTATCGTGTCTTCTAGTTTTATCTCGCTGTAAAGCTTGACAGCTTAACTCTGCATTCGTTCTTGTCTGATTTTATTATTTATTATTAGTCCCTTGGGTTCCTAGTGGAACATAGGGCTTCAGTAGCACGCCTCCAGTGACCTCTGTTCTCTGAGATCTTTTGAACCTGGTTCCACGACAGCCCACAACCTCTCATTTCCTCCTCGCACGATCTCCTCCATGTCACCCTCGACCCGGAAGTCCAACTCGTCGCTTCCCATGGGGATTCCACTGGAGCAACTGGCCTGACGCGTGATGTCCTCAGTCGGCCTTCTCAGTGCATGCCCAATCCATCTCCACTTCTTCCTGCATATTTGTTGCGTGATAGGTTCTTGGTTGGTTCGTTCCCAGAGTTCCTTGTTGCTTATCTTTTCTGGCCATCTGATCTTCAGCAGCGAGCGTAAGCAGTTGTTGATGAATGTCTGTAGTTTATTGGAAATGCCTTTCGTGACGCGCCAAGTCTCTGAGCCATACAAGAGCACTGACTTGACGTTGGTGTTGAAAATCCGTATCTTGTTTCGCATGCTGAGTGCAGAAGATCTCCACACTGGTTTCAGGCTAATGAACGCCTGTCTTGCTTTTCCGATTCTGACTTTGACGTCCTCGTCCGTCCCGCCTGTAGTTGAAACAGTGCTTCCTAGATAAGTGAAGGAGGTTACTTCCTTCAAGTTTCTCCCGTTGACGGTGATTGGAGTTTGTTGTTGTTGTTGATGGTGGTGGTGCGGTATCTTCATCACTTCTGTCTTCTCTATATTCACCTGAAGTCCCGTCTTAGCTGCCTCTTCTATCAACTTGTTAGTTTTTGCCTGCAGATCTTCAAGTTTATGTGACATTAGGCATAAGTCATCGGCGAAATCCAAGTCTTCTAGGTTCTTTTCCGTCGTCCAGTGTATCCCCCTCTTCTCGCTGCCTACTGTTTGCTGCATGATCCAGTCCACCACAATAAGGAATATCATGGGTGATAGTAGGCAACCTTGTTTCACTCCTGTCTTCACTTCAAAGGCATCACTGAGCTTCCCATTGTGAATTACTTGGCATGTGGCATCTTCATATAGTTGTTGAATGAGGCGGATAAAGGTTTGCGGTACTCCGTAGTATTGAAGCAGTTTCCAAATTACTTCTCGGTCGACGCTGTCAAAGGCCTTCTCAAAGTCGATGAAGTTGAGGTATAGAGCTGATTGCCATTCTATGCTCTGTTCTATGATGATGCGTAGTGTAGCGTTGCAATTTGGTCTGCACATGATTTGTACTTCCTGAAGCCTGCCTGTTCCGGTCGCAGTTTTGAATCCAGTGCGTCTTTAAGCCTCTCTAGGATGATGCGGCTTAATATTTTACTTGGGGTGGACAGGAGAGTGATTCCCCGCCAGTTCTTGCAAGCACTGAGGTCTCCTTTCTTCGGCAGTTTGACAAGGTAACCCTTCTTCCAATCGTCAGGTACCTTCTCTTCCTTCCACACCTTCTGCAATAGTGGTGTGGTGTGAGCATGTCCGCTGTTGTCTCTGCATCTGTTCTCAGTGCTTCTGGCGGTATTCCATCTGGTCCTGCTGCTTTCCCGCATTTCAGTAGCTTTATGGCGTTCAGGACTTCCATTTTCGTTGGAGGATTTATGTTCACTTGTAATTCAGCGGCTGCAGGTGGTATTTCTGGACGAAGTGCAGGTGGTGGTCGATTCAAGAGCTTCTTGAAGTGGTCGGCCCATCGTTTCCTCTGTTTCTCTTCTTTTGTAATTAAATTTCCTTCTTCATCTTTTATTGGTTTCATCTGTGTTGGTCTTTTCCCTGATAGCAACCTGGTTATTTGATACAATGTCGTCAGGTCTCTCTTACCTGCAGCCTGTTCTGCTTCACTTGCCAGTGTTCGTAGAAGTGTCTTTTGTCTTTGCGTGCACTCTTCTTCACTTCTTTGTCCAGTGTTTTATACATTGTGCTCAGTTCCTCTTGTCGTTGAGCATCCTTGCACTGGTTTATCTTCTGCTTCACCATCCTCCTCTCCTCTATCAGCTTCCAGGTATCCGTCGAGATCCATTCCTTGTCTTCTTTCTTCTTCCTTCCTAATACTGTTGTGCAGGTTTCTTTCCACATAGCTTTCAAAGACTTCCAGTGTTCTTCCACACAGGTTTCTTCAGGGATGTTGCTCGATGTCTCCCATTTTGTCTTGATGGCTGCCGTGAAGATCTCCTTTGTAGTTTCATCCTTCAGTTTCCGAGTGTTCTACTTGAATTGAGGTCTATCACCAGCTTCCTTGAAGGCTTTTAACTTGATTTGAAGGTTCCTTGCACTAGATAGTGGTGTGAACCTACATCTGCTCCTCTTCTTGACCTTGTGTTAAGTAGACTGCATCTCCATTTTCTTGAGATTGAGATAAAGTCGATTTGATTTTTAGTGTGTCCTGGTGTCTGGTGAAATCCATGTCGCTTTGTGGATGGATATCTTTGTGCCTGAACACACTGCCTCCAATCACCAAATCGTTGAATGCACAGAATTCTGCAAACAATTCTCATTCATTTCACCTAGCGCCTCTCGACCCATGGTTAGTTCTCTTCCCGTGTTGTCCCCTCCCAGTTTGGCATTCATGTCACCCATTAGAATTTTGATATCACCAACTGACGTCTTGTCCAGTGTTAGTTGAAGTTGTCTGTAGAAATCCTCCTTTTTCTCTTGCTCTGCATTATTTGTAGGTGCATAACATTGTATGATTGTGACCTTTCTTCCTTTTGAGTTGAATCTTGCTGTCATGATCCAGTGGAGGAGATTGGTTCCCACTGCATGAGAGCCTTCGATGCTCTTGAGGACATCATGATAGCCACTCGAAACTCAGTGTGCTCGTGGTTGGCGTCTGGGTGACCGGAGTAGATTATTGATTCTCCAGTTGACAGTTTGGAGAGTCCACTTCCATTCCATCTGCTTTCGCAAATCCCAAGCACTTCGATGTGATACCTTCTCATCTCCTTTGCAATCTGGGCTGCCTTACTGGGTTCAAACATCGTGCGGACATTCCATGTCCCCACGTTTACTTTCGCTTTCATCGAGAGAAGACACATCGGCCAATTGGCTTCCCGAAGGCTTTCACCAACTGGCGTCATTTCGCCTCTCCGATTCCAGCGGGGAATAAGTTTGTTTTCATTTTTTATATTTTGTTTGTGCTTTGAAGTTTCTTTAGCGGTTGGATTTGTTTTACGGGGTAGGGTTGCTAGCCCTATGCCCAACCTTCCCTCTTTACCCGGGCTTAGGACCGGCTAGTAACTAGTAAACTAGTTAACCAGGCGAGGTTGTTCTTGTCTGATGTCCTACATTAATTAATCTCTTTGTTTTAAAAAAGCGATTCATTGTCTACTGTCTCTAAAAACTTATATGTACATATTTATGTGAACAAAAAATACCATTTTCATTGAAGTGTGTTTTATTTTGAAAAGAACAAAAATGTTTGTTTCCTCTTTATCATTCATTCTATGCATATGCCTACCACTGGGAGGTAGGTGAATCCAGCTGATGAGTCCCTAAGAGGGTGAAACGTGCTTTCTTGATTTCGCTACCAACCACTATCCACCGCTAATATATGCTTACTACAGTTGAAATTACCTATATTTCGCGGTTAAAAACTGTATTGTATGCATATTTAATTGATATCCGATAGACATATGTCTTGTAATTAGAACAGATAGGATTAGTCATTGTTCAGTCCTGTAACTGAATCAATTTGTCTAGATTTTTGTTCATCTTGCTTATGTTTTTTGCATTATTTCTTCATTCATTCATTGTGTACAATGGGACTTAAAATGATAGCATATGTTTATCTATTTTACACGGTATATTTGAAACTAATCCAACCATATATTCTAATGTAGTGTTATTCTCTTCTTCCATTCATTTTCTCTCTTCTGTTATTTATTACAGTGACGAGTACTGTTCCCGTTAATAATCCAGAAGAAGAAGATACAGATGATGAGATTCAAAGGTATACATTAACTTTTCTTTAAAATCTAAGATTATCTTACTTATTGGATTAAAAAGGAAGGAATACAACTTCCTTAACTAACAAACGCTATGCATTGTAGTAGTACTACCATATATAAAATCTCTTTTTTAATTTTTTCTCGAATCAAATCCTCATGCATTTAGATTTCTTTAAAAAAGAAAACGTGTTGTATACAGAAGTCGTTGAATGAAAATGATAGACAGAAAAACAGATAAAATCAACGTAGAGCCTCGCACACAAGTGCATCAGTTCTAATTGCCACACTTCACAGTACCATACAACGAACAATTGGATAGAAAAGCAGTGATATCAAGCCAGACAAAGTTATGTGATAAACAATTTGAAGATAAAGGTTAGCACAAATATTCAATCTTTAGAAGACGCCAGAGTGAATACATTTGCCCTAGTGTGATCGATTCTCAGCTATGTCACCAAGATTTCTCAACCACTGATTCCTATCGTCTCCGGCACTCTACACCTCCCTACATGGCTCATACCAACAGTCAGGGAATTCATGGACTGGTGCCATGTTTTGGTCTGGTCACTCTGAACCCTCTTCCAACTTAACTCAGCTTCCCCTAGGACTGCACGTCGAGGTAGGCTATGGCTTGGCATTCGCAGTATATTTCTAAACCATCTCAGTCGATGAAGGCTCACAACCTCATTGAATGACTTGCCTTCCTTCCCTAGGACCCTTTGCCTGACCTCGACATCACTCACATGATGATTCCGCCATACGCGAGCAATTTTATAAAGACATCTGTGACCAAAACCCTGCAACTGCTTCATGTCTTCTACTTTTAACGACCATTTCTCATAGTCGTATAACAAGACAGAACTCACTGCAGTGCAGTATGTCCGTCCTCTAATAGGTAACCCGATATCTCGCCAGTCGATGTGAGAGATTATGCAAGTTGGCATTTGCCAAACGGGCCTTTCGTATCCGAGCTGAGATTTCATAAGCCTATACGAGCCGATGCAACTCACCCATTGCACCACTTTACTCTTTATCATTAAAATGGGAGTATCTGTAGCAGACCAGTCCTGGAGCATCATCTTACACTTGACAAGTGCCAAACGCATGCCAACATACTGATTGTCAGTCAGATGATTATGGCTGAAAATGTTACAAATTAGTTAGATGTCGAATACTAATAACCGTATTTATATACTAGTGATTTTGATTATTTATCATTCGTATAAATTGTAACTCAGTATGTGACTGACTGGCCTTTGTTTTTAGTGAATATACCAGTACGATAAAGTTACTTGTTCGATTTGAGTTTTTTATGTGAAGTTGATAAATTATGTGGTTTTTTGGGCATTTATTGACTTCAAGGTGTAGTATTCATCGCGGACTAAAATCAGTTGGAGAACAAATGAAAATCTTGAAGTATTAAACAGCTACTTCATCTTAGTTTGGAACGGATTAAATCAGTGGCTAGTGCTTACTAGTAATATGCTTGTGTATGAATTTCTCGAAGTTCTAATGGGAAGTCGTAGTCTTTAGGATCAACCAGCTCGGTTGTGAGGACGAATACTCACCGATAACACTGTGACAATGGTCATAGTGTATTATAAATTAATAGAAGTAAGGAAAATGTGAACTGTTGGATTCTGACCCAGTGAGTCAATGAGACCATACTCGCGCGAGACCCGAAGGTCTTGAGCTGGGTCCCTGTTGGGGTTGCGAACACGTACTGCTGAGGAGTCCGAAACTAGGAAGAAAAAGCTCCAAAGTGTTCATTATTTCTCCAGCTGGTGCGAGTCCTTGATGAAAACCACCTTGCAATATTTCGTCTTGCTTTATATAGACAAAAGTGTAATCCTGAATCTAAAACAATTAGTTCCCGTGATAAACTTCGACAAAGCAATAAGAAGACGTAAATTGTCTGAACCGGTTCAGACAATTTACGTAATCCTGAATCATTTTTTTTTACTAGTTTTCTCATTCTCTATACAAACTTCTACATTATCCCACTCCTTATCTACAGATTTCTGTATCATTGTTAACAATATATATGTATTGAAGTAGTGTCTTTTTCATCTCTGTTTCTCCGCTGTTTATTGAGGTAGTATAGCATCTTAAACAGATGCTCCATTGTATTCGGTTCTATTCTGTTTTTATCATAACTGCCTACGTATTGTGTAAGTCATCAGCTCACTGTATTGGAAGATTGAACAAAGGTGAGAGTGAGTGGTGGTGGTTGTGTGGCGAACCTGAGTATTGACAATTATATCTTTCTCCTATAATTTTGCTCGATAGACTCATGTATCGTCCCAGAATTATTGTTAGCCGCTGGTGAAGGGCGCTCATCGATAAAATAAATCCCTCTTAAGTGTTTACTTACAAACTTATTTAAGTAGCTGAAATTTATGTAACAGAAAATTTTCAACAAGTTGTGTTTCTCCATTCTATAGGGGAAATTATTTCAAGCGTCTATACATCTGAGGGATAACTCAATCTGATGTTCAAAAAAACTGGTGCAATAAATACAAACTCTTCTTATTTTCAATAAACTTTACATTTCCCCACTCGAAACAATATTTGTGGAGCTATGGCTCATTGGTGTTAGGGAGTTGGCTTTCAACTAATAAGTGATGGGTTCGAACATGGCCCCATCTACCGAGGTTTGGGCAGCCAGGCAGTATTATCAACAACCCTCGCACAGTAGGTGTACCTCATCATCTACTGCACGAATATGCGCAAGGTCGTTGAATGCACTTCGACTAATATCCTTCTTTCGAAGTGGTGAAGTATGACTGACTAAATGAGGGTAGGATTATCTTTAAATCAACTAAAATACTGTAAACATAAAAATCATTGGAAAGCATAGCTTTTTTCACCAGTAATTGACGATATCTTAGCGCTGAAAAGATATTTGTATCTGTGTTTTTTCTCTTGTTTGTATATCCAATCTCATAGTGAGAGAACTTTTCTCTGACTGTTTGTCATTTACATTATTACTAATAATATTATCTGTATTTCTGGAATAGTAAGTTACTGCGTAAGCCGCTGTGTGTTTACAAGCATCTAGTGATGGTTAATGGTGTAAACATTTAGTGGTCTAGTCTAGCAGAGAATGTAATTGGTCAAGTTAGGTTGTCATAACTTCAATTGATATCTGTGATACATATTTAATGCATGGAATATTCTACAATTACATCTTCAGGGTCAGTGTATTTTCCCTTATATATTTGTTTATTCAACCAAGCACACATGTAAGGAGGGGAAATATGTACAAAAGAAACTATGAGATTTTATTTTTATCTACTGAAGATGCAGGGCATCTCGTATTCAAAGAATAATAATAATAACAGCAGCATGTAGGTTGTAAAGCAAAAATCTATTTACAATTTCGCAGACACAAGGATCAATTTAGAATACTGAAGTCTACTATTTATGCGTATAAAGGTTTATTTAATATCAGATTTGTGTGTATGTACATCCATTAGTTTGATGCATTGACTATAAGGAGTGTTTACGCTAGATTCTCTTTCCTTGAAACATGCGTATACATCTATGTTGTTATCATTATCACTGTGTGTCAAAACTATGCTTCTGCACTCTATGCACTGAACTGTCAAGCGTAGCTTGAAACACTTCATCTCCAGCCTCACCTACTTTGACTAGACGAGTTGGGTAATATCACCAGTCTTCGTATAATCAATATTTGTTAGAGCGTATCATACACTAACTTTGGTGTTGATGATGCATAGTGGCTAGCAGTGGAACATAGGACCTGCGTTTCGTCCTATTTGGAACTCGTCAACCGGGTTTGCCTGCTCCCCTGAGTGAGTGGTTGTTCCCACTGCGATTCAAACGCATTACCTATTGCTTCAAACACCAGACCATTGTTGAAAATATAGGTAATATCGAGGGATGTGCACAAATATGAGCCTATATGCCAATAGTGACCTATCAGTTCCGGTCCAATCAACTACTAAGATTTACAAGTTATAACATCATAAATTATCACGCGTCAGTTGTAAATGTAATGAAATCTAGGGCATAATGTTTCAATCTAGTAGGTGCAATTTGAAATCCCTTACAGTTTTACTGATTGTAAAATTAATGAAGGATACTTTGCTGCATTAAATCTGTTTGTAAAGTGGTTAGGTATTCATTTTTCTTTTTTTAAATTGGTGGAAAGTTGAAAATTACATCAATTAGGCGTTATTTCATTCTATTTGAATAGACAAACTGATCAACTCTACTATCATGAATGTCTTAGTAATGTTGCTCAGTTGTTCAAGTCATATATTGCTATCCGCTGATTTACTAGATGTATCTTCTTTCAGTTAAAAATTGTTTATTTGTTCAACAATCATAATCTGATGATTTGTTTCGTCAAATCTCACATAACAATGCACCGATAAAGTTCAAGACATCTTTCCATCATTCATTAGTTCTGACTATAAACTCAATGATATGTTCTATCCATGAGATATCGAGATGATCTCATCGATAAATAGATTGTTCTAACTGTAAATTATGTGGGGGTGAATACACTTGTGATTATTATCACTATTTGTCCCTTATGTTCCTAGTGGAACATAGGGCTTCAGTAGCACGTCTCCAGTGCACTATACTCTCCGCAGTCTTTTCAGCCTAGCTCCACAAGCTTTTAATTCTTCCTCACACGATCTCCTCCATGTCACCCTCACCTCAGAAGCCCAACTCATCGTTTTCCATTTGGATTCCACTCGAAGACTTGGCCTGGTGCGTGATGTCCCCAGTCGGCTTTCTCAGTGTATGCCCAATCCATCTCCACTTTCTTCCTTCTCATATTTGTTGGGTGATAGGTTCTTGGTTAGTTTGTTGCCAGGTCAGAGTTTCTTGTGGACACTGTCATAACACTTCTCAGTCAATGGATTCGAAAGAAGCCATATATAATATAAACAGTCATATCTAGTTAGTGTTCAGATTTTCTAGAGCAATTTAGTCTCATTGTGATCTGGTTACATACAAGATATCTTCACAGATTTTTCCATAAATTCATTTTTCGATTCTTAGTATCTTTTGTGTTTACGCATCTAATTTATTTTTCTCTGCATGAAGATAACTGCCTTCATTTGAAAAAAAATCTGTTTCAGAGTCTTGACAACAAGTCGTAGCCAATTAGCCGATAGCGATGATGATGACAATGAAAATATTCTACAATCATCTGTGAAAAGCCTTCCAGACATATTTATGGATAAACATTTCTTTATTCATAATAAATCAATTCCTAAGGATGAAGAACGTTTACTTGAACGGTTGATTGTTGCATTTGCTGGGTAAGTGTCTATATTTTGTATTTGTAATTAATTGTGTATCAAAAATGAACTCCACTCAACAACCTTTTGCATATTCACGCGGTAGGCAATGAGCCACATGTGTTTTGTGAAGGATAATGATACTACCTGGCGACCCAAACCTTGGTAGGTGGAACGGATTTGAATCGGTGATCTACTGACTGGAAGTTAACTGCCTAAACCAATGAGCTACAGCTCTACGTATAACAAACATATATACTCGAAAGACAAACTGCTCACTCTCTTGTCTGTTATAAAAAGTACAATATAAAGTTCACTTTTTCATATATCGTTTAAGCCACATATTGTTCGTGTTATCCGACTACAACTTACCTGAGAAATTAACAAATTTAATGGTAAATGAATAACCTGTCTTAATTACACAAACTGTAGATACATTCGTGGAAAGAATATTTGTTGCTCAGACAGAATGTGGATATCTGAGCTCAGAAAACATGATGATTGATTGCTTAGACAGCATCACATTTTGTAAAGTAATGTATCAAATCAAATTACTACAATAGTCAGTAAACATAGACGAAAGCGACCAGTAATAGAAACAATACTCTTATTATAATAGATACTTAGATAGGTAAATTAAGGTCAGCACAAATGAACATCATACCTCACAATAGCATGCAAATAAGAAATGGAAAGAAGAGAATGACATCGAAGTAGAAAACATGTGCATCAGAGGAAGGAGTAAATTAATAAAGGTTCATGAAAGAAGTTCGGATCAGACTTCAGTGCAAAATGTTGGAATGATATCATTTTAACACTCTATGACTTACTCAAATATGAACTATATCTTGTTGTTTGGTACTTGTAATTCCCCGTTGGTACACAGGGTTGAATTGTTCCACCACTGTTGACAGATGGGCTCCTATGCAGATGCCTCAATACTGTCAGATATTCATGATGTTATATTCATCTTTGTGACTGGCAGTGGAATGTAGGACGCACGTTTCTTTCTATTTGTGACTCAGCTGGATGTACCTGCATCCCAGTGAGTGATGTTGTTTCCATTGAAAATTCAAACCCAGTACACATTGCTTCAACTGCCAAAGCGTTATCCACTAGGCCATTGGGGGATGAGAGCCATCACCGGTGCAACGGGTATCATTTATTGTTGTTTAATACTTATAATTTTCCACTTCTATACGGGGTTGTATTGCTTTTACTTAGCCACCAATATTTACAATACTATTCGGTTAAATCTTGATCGTAGTTGATATAAATTGATGGAAGTGTTTAAGATTTAGAAGGTGACTAAATGCGTATACACTTGTTCCATTGTCATCGATTCTGAGCTATTTCACAAAAAGAGTGTCCAACTACTGATTTCCACCATATCTAAGACCTCAGAAACCCAAACTAACAGTGTTAAACTTTATGAATTGGTGTTTTTAGGACTTGAATGTAAATCAAATTTTTAAAAGCGAATCCAATCCAGGACTCTGGATTATTTGGAAAAAATATCTTTTTTTTCAAGCGTTAAAGTTGTTTTTTAAAGTGTCCTTTGATGATATGAAGATGGCTTATTTTGTTTCATTTTCATGAATTTAAAATGGCTTAGTTTATTTAGAGACGTTGTTACTAGATTACTTGTCTGACTGATTAGTTCTTCGAATCTCAATTATGTATGTCATTTTAGAAATGTTTGGAAAATTTGGGATCCACAAATACAACTTGGGGTGATTATAATAGGAAGCTGAAGTGATGAGTAATTATGAGCATAGTTTTCAAAATGTTCTGGAAGGTCTTCTTGGTGGGTTGTTGGTTTTAGACTGCATTTCAAATGGATTGTAGCTTCCTCACATCCTAATTTGGTTGCTATATGGCAACAATCTTTAAACTATAACTGAAGTTTTTCAAATAGATCATAAAATGTATTAATGATGGGTCGTGGCTAGCAATCGAATCCAGAATGCTCATTTCTTTCCATTTGGGACTCGTTAGCTGGATGTACCTGCTTCCCAGTAAGTGATGTTGTTCCCACCGGGATTCTGACTCAGGAGCGATCGCTTCAAACGCCCGGGCGTTATCCACTACACCACCGAGCCACGATAGCCACTTCTTATGCGACGCATATAGTTTTGGTATAATTGTTTTTATATGATACCGTCGTTGTTGTAGTGGATAACGCGCTGGCGTTTGAAGCGATCGCTCCCGAGTCCGAATCCCAGTGGGAACAACATCACTTACTGGGAAGCAGGTACATCCAGCTGACGAGCCCCAAAATAGGACGAAATGCACATCCTGGATTCCACTGCTAGCCACGATCCATCATTAATACAATTAGAACGCAGGCATTATCGAGGCATCCTCACAGGAGCCCATATGCCAATAGAGACCGATCAATTCGGTCCTAGCAACGACGGTATCATATAAAAACAATCATACTAGATCATAAAATGTATGAGATCTTTGTGTGATATTTTTCTGAAGCTCAACTAAACGATAGGTCATTGTGTTGATGAGATTTAATATGTGATGCTTGAAAGTTTTTACATTTGGAATCAAACGGTTATGAAGAAAAGATTTCCAGGACAATTTTAGAAATTTGTAAAGTCATCCAGCAACCGAAATTCATTTCTTAATAAAGCAAACTTTAATAGAATAACGAGTTATTTTACTTTAAAAGGGTTCTTACTCATCGTATTACTACTGAATATACTCAGATTATAGAACAAATAGTTTAACAAAGGAAATCCTTTCCAACGAATTTCTATGATACTGTACACTCTATTGAATATCAGTCTTCTGATTTCATTTTGTGAATCACTTGAATGAGTTGAATTTTTAATTGTCCTTGGTTATTCACCCATCTATACATTATAACAACTTATTATCCTTTTTTATATTAGAAGTGAAGTTGTTTCACAAATGGCTTATTTTAGTTAGGTGATTGATTTCACTGATGTTTGTATAAGTTAATGATTAAGTTTACAGTACCATAGTTCTTCTCCCCCTTGTATAATTGATCATTTTATTTGCAAAATGAACATTTTCTAGGTAACTTTTAGTTTGTTTTGTATGTGATTTAGGTATGAGTAGAGAATATCCATTAGTCTACTGAGTGTCTTATAAGTGAAATGCAATCCAACTCATGAATGACTTATATTTTAAGGTAGTATTCATCAAGGACTGATATCAGTTGAAGAACCATTAAAAACCTAGGAGCACTGAACAGCTACTTCGTCCTAGTATGTAACTTTTGTACTCCCATTATTTTTATTTATTATACGTCCCGTGGGTTCCTAATGGAACATAGGGCTTCAGTAGCACATCTCCAGTGGACTCTGTTCTCTGAAATTTTTTGAACACGGTTCCACGACTGCCCAGGAACTCTCATTTCTTCCTCACACCATCTCCTCCACGTCACCCTCAGCTGGGATGCCCAACTAGTCGCTTCCCATTTCGATTCCACTCGATGGCCTGGCCTGGCGCATGATGTCCCGAATGGTTTCCTCAGTGTATACTCAGTCCATCTCCACTTCCTTCCAGTGCATATTTATTCAGCGATAGGTTCTTGGTTGCTTTGTCACCAGCCAGAGTTCCTTCTTGCTTATTCTGACTATTCTGGCCATCTGATCTTCAGTAACGAGCCAGAATAGGCAGTTGTTGATCAATTTCTGTAGTTTCTTGGAAATCCCTTTCGTAACGAGCCGAGTCTCTGAACCATACAGAAGCACTGACTTGACATTGCTGTTGAAAATCCGGATCTTGTTCATGCTTTATGCCGAGTGCAGAAGATCTCCACACTGGTTTCAGGCTAATGAACGCCTGTCTTGCTTCTCCGATTCTGACTTTCACATCCTCGTCTGTCCCGCCTGCAGTTGAAACAGTGCTACCTAGATAGGTGAAGGAGGTTACTTCATTTAAGTTTCTCCCGTTGATGGTGATTGAAGTTTGTTGTTGGTGCGGTATCTTCATCGCCTCTGTCTTCACGTTCACTTGAAGTCCCGTCTTCGCTGCCTCTTCTGTCAACTTGTTAGTTTTCGCCTGTAGATCTTCAAGTTTGTGTGACACTAGACACAAGTCATCACTGGCGAAGCCTAAATCTTCTAGGTTCTCTTCCGCTGTCCAGCGTATCCCCCTCATCTCGTTCCTCACTGTTCGTTGCATGATCCAGTCGACCACAGTCAGGCAGCCTTGTTTTACTCCTATCTTCACTTCACTGCAAAAGCATCACTGAGATTCCCTTTGTGAATTACTTGGCATGTGGTGTCTCCATATAGTTGTTGAATGAGATTGATAAAGGTTTGTGGTATTCCGTAGTGTTGAAGCAGTTGCCAAATTACTTGTCGGTCGACGCTGTCGAAGGCCTTTTCAAAGTCGATGAAGTTGAGGTAAGGTGAATTGTTGACTGCCATTGTATACTGTGTTCTATGATGATGCATAGCGTAGTGTTGCGATTTAGTCGGCACATGATTTGTACTTCCTAAATCCAGCCTGTTCTGGTTGTGATTTTGAATCCAGCACACCTTTTGGTCTCTCCAGGATGACGTGGCTTAATATTTTGCTTGGTGTGGACAAGAGTGGAGCATGATTCCGCTCCAGTTCTTCCAAAGACTTAGGTCTCTCTTCCTTGGAAGTTTGACAAGGTAACCCTTCTTCCAATCAATAGGCAGGTACCTTTCCTTCCTTGCAAACCTTCTGCAGTAGTAGTGTGGTGTGAGCATGTCCGCTATTGTCTCTGAGTCTGTTTTCAGTGGTTCTGGAGGACTTCCATGTGGTCCTGCTGCTTTTCCAGATTTCAGCAGTTTTATGGCGTTCAGGACTTCTGCTTTTGTCGGAGGGCCTGTGTTCACTGGTAATTCTATGGCTGAGCTGGTGGTGGTATTTCTGGACGAGTTGCAGGTGGTGGTCGATTCTAGAGTTTTTTTGAAGTGGTCAGCCCATTGTTTCCTTTGTTTCTCCTCTTCGGTAACCGGCTTTCCTTCACTATCTTTCATTGGTTTCATCTGTGTTGATCTCTT